TATTCTATTTTGCCAAGATACCAATTTATTAATATTCATCTCAAGGGAAGTTCAGCTCAATTCTTTGGCGGCATTTGTGTGCAATAGACTCCATGAGCTGAATTTTCCTCATCACCAAGATCCTCTGATGCTATGTTAGGAACTTAGAGAGGCTTATCAACTCTCAAAACAATAGGAGACCAACAGGGTATGATTGGCTCAGCTGCCAGAGTGTCATTAGGGATAAAGAAAGCAGCAGGACCCATCGGGGACAAGAAGATCCAGTACTTCTGAAGGATGTCATGGGAATTAAAATGCCGGCATTTAATCATACTTTCAGTTGTCAGTGTTTGCAGCTGGTACCTAGGAATAAAATACAGTGTCACATACTTCTGTGTGACCCCTGCCTACTTGGACAAAGTTACAGATGATCTGCCTGTCACACCATGGTCTATGAGGTACCTTGGGAGAAGCAGACACTTTTTAAAAGCATTGAAGGGGCAAGCTAATGTTAAACATTGAAATCTACTAATTATGGATTAAGGACCATCTTGAGAATAAAAGTTGTTCCTGTTTTTGTCTCTGCCCTTTACACACTGAAAATAATGAATGGGAGCATTTTGAAAAGGCTTGATATTCATCTTTTTTTTTTTTTTTGTAGCCACTTGTTTCATTGCCATGTATTTCTATATAAAGAAAATCTTTTGAAAGAAAAGATTTCATTTTCCTAATAATAAGTCTCTAAAAACCTTTTTTGGTTTGTAGAAAATGCATATGGAAGGCACTTACCAAGAAAAGTTCTTGGTGACTCTCAGGAGCGATGGAGAGTCTGCTTCCTCACACCTGCTCCGAGAAGCTAAGTGTAGCAGATGCTGTTGGTGTCCTGTTCACAGCTTCCCTGCCTCTGCATGTCAACACATACTGGTTTGGACTCCAGCGACCAGCACTTACACCTCTTTGCCTGAGAGCTTTTTTGGGTTTTGGTTGTCTCTGACCATGTAGAAGTTAGAAGTGCCAGGATCAACACCCACTCTCACTCTGGAAGCCTTCAACCAATGACTAGAGGAGTTGGAGAATAAATACCTCCACTCCTTCATCTTCTGGGGTATCTTCCCCAGTAGGAATTAGTTCTACTTGCCCATGGTAGTAACCTTGATATATCTTTGATATATCTTGGTATAGCTTTTAACCTTTGATATATCTTGACATATCTTTTTTTTTAAGTGTAATTATTTCATCTACGAATCAGAGAAATAGAGAGATGCAGGCAGAAACACAGGCTCCCCAACAGGGTCTCAATGCTGCAATCCACCCCGAGCCTCAGCCCGCTGTGGATCAGCCCAGCATACTCAGGGAGGTCTTTGGATGAGAACGCACAACCTCCCCATGTGGGTCAACCTCATAGAATGTTGTTTTCACTGCTGTGCCGCTGCCTGGTCCCATCAGTGACATATCGTTTATTGATTTCCTTCCTTCTGCCGTGTCATTTCACCGCAGCTCTCCATCTCTACTGGTAGCTCTTGATGTTACTTCCCTCATAAGTCATTTGCCCTGAAACTGTTCCCTCGGGGTCTGCTTCTGGGGGAACCCAGCCTCCTTCTAGGGCAGTAGGAAGGAACAGAGAAAAATGACTGTTATTTAAGAGAGTTTCTACAAGCCGTGTGTGCCCATGGTGCGTTTAAGGGTTTATTTACAGCTCATTACCTTCTTTTACAGTAATGCTATGGGATAGATTAGGGAAGAGCTGCTGCAAACCAAAGACTAGTCAAAAATGAGGATAAAGTAGTCGTGGAGGTTACCAGGAATATGGACTTAGCCTACCGAAATTCGATGTGCTCATAGCTTTCCTCGGTTCTGAGCAGTGCAGGGTACCTGTGGTGACAATGCAGAACAGCCTCCCTCGAGACTCAAGCCCATGGAGTCATTTGGAAATAACACCCTGGCTGGGGACAAGGGTCTTTTCCAAGCAGATGCTGCCATAGTCCAAGGGAGCACCTACCTTGGACCATTTGCCTCTAGCAACATCTGGTCCCGGAGCTGCCCAAGGGCAGAGGGATGGCAGGAAGGGGTCACACACAGCAAAACCTGGAGGGTCACTGAAGAAGCAGCAGCCTACAGCATGCAGGCTCAGTTTTCCTCAAAAAGCTCATAATATAACTGTCAAAAATGGCACCATGAACCCAAATTATGAGATAATTATGTTCAGTCCCAAACTCAACACAATAAAGGTTATTTGCTCTCCTGCTTAGCAACCACCTCATAGAGGGGAGAAAAATACCATACGGATACAAAATGTAAACTCGCAAAGCAGTAATAAAACCAGCACACAACTATTCATTTCAAGTCTATTTTGAAAAGCCGTTGATAATACCAGTAATTCCCTGTAAAGCTTCTATTGTCTTGCCACAGTTCCCTTCTGGAGATAGAAAAAGGTTTTTCCATTCTCCAGCCATTCCTTTTAGGGAGATAAAGTCCACTATTTTTCAAGTTTAAATGTTCGCCCTTCTGGGGAAAAAATAATAAAATCAAATAAAAACAAGCAAGCAAGCAGTCCCAAATGTCCTGTATCCGACTAAGCTTACCGTATAGGTAGGGGCTTAGTGGTGATACCCAAGCGAAGCCTCCCTGTTTTGCACAGCACAATCCATGTAATGGTCTTAACAAGGTACTTAGATGTAGCTCATGAACTTATCCAAACGTTTTGGAAAAAACCTTCTGAAAAGTAGAAAGTGTGGTCTAACTGGGATCATAGTGGTAAAAGCACCAAATCCTACCTGGCCTACTGCACGTTTTGAGTCCTGGACCTGGTGACTTGAAAAACACACCTGGAGGACCAGCAGATGGCATAATGGTTATGTTGCTAGACTCCCACATAATCAACCACAGTTTGAGTCCCAGACTTGACAGCTTAAAACCCACACCAGACACAGGTGCATGTGTGCCCAAGAGCCCAAGAGGATAATTGAGGAGAAGGAATTGCGGCATGTTCCTCTCCCCTGGAGGGTGATTTCTCCCTTTCAGTCTCTCCCTGTTTCTCTGGTGAGCACACTCACCCTATAGCAAAAAATCTCTCTTAAAAAAAATAATAATAACAAGAAAAATACACTGGGTATGTGTGCATGCATGGCCAAAATCCAGAGAAGAGAATGGAGGAAAAGGGATTTGGGCATGGCCATTCCCCCATGTGGTGGGGAAGAAGTGGTGATTTCCCACTTTTCTTTCTCTGATGAGCACACATACCCTATAGCAAAACTGAAAAAAAGAAAAGAAAAGAAAAGAAAATTCATATTTCACCCATTTCCACGCACCCTTGCTCACATGTAGGCTGGGTATTAGTTAGCTCTCTCATATCCTGCCTGAGCAGCTCCTCTGGGTGCCACTGACAGTCCTACCTAGGACAGAGGCATGGAGGAAGTTCTCAGAACATCCTTGGTTGGAGGAACAGAAATTTACACATGCGAGCTCTAATAAGAAGGGGATGGCTGGTGGCATGATGGTTAAGGTCACTGGACTCCCACATGGCTGACCATGGTTCGAGTCCTGGATCTGGTGGTTTGCTTTCTCACTTTACTTCTCTCTCTCTCTCACTCTGTCCCTCTCTGGTCAAATTAAAATAAATAAATTAAGTTAAATAATTCTTCTTTTTTTTAAAAAAAAAAGAGAATTGTTGGGCTCGCTCTGTGGCCTAGTAGTTAAGGGAACCAGATCTCACCTGGCGAACAGCAGTTTGAATCCCAGGCCCACCAGCTTGAAAAATATTCTGAGCGAGTTTGTGGGTGCCCACAATCCCAACAGGAGGATGCTTCTTCTCACTCTGTCTCTCTGGTGAGTACATGCATCCTCTAGCAATTAAAAAAGAAAGGGAAAAAAAGAAAGAAAGAAAGAGAGAGAGAGAGAGAGAGGAATTCCCTGTAAAGCTTCTATTGTCTTGCCACAGTTCCCTTCTGGAGATAGAAAAAGGTTTTTCCATTCTCCAGCCATTCCTTTTAGGGAGATAAAGTCCACTATTTTTCAAGTTTAAATGTTCGCCCTTCTGGGGAAAAAATAATAAAATCAAATAAAAACAAGCAAGCAAGCAGTCCCAAATGTCCTGTATCCGACTAAGCTTACCGTATAGGTAGGGGCTTAGTGGTGATACCCAAGCGAAGCCTCCCTGTTTTGCACAGCACAATCCATGTAATGGTCTTAACAAGGTACTTAGATGTAGCTCATGAACTTATCCAAACGTTTTGGAAAAAACCTTCTGAAAAGTAGAAAGTGTGGTCTAACTGGGATCATAGTGGTAAAAGCACCAAATCCTACCTGGCCTACTGCACGTTTTGAGTCCTGGACCTGGTGACTTGAAAAACACACCTGGAGGACCAGCAGATGGCATAATGGTTATGTTGCTAGACTCCCACATAATCAACCACAGTTCGAGTCCCAGACTTGACAGCTTAAAACCCACACCAGACACAGGTGCATGTGTGCCCAAGAGCCCAAGAGGATAATTGAGGAGAAGGAATTGCGGCATGTTCCTCTCCCCTGGAGGGTGATTTCTCCCTTTCAGTCTCTCCCTGTTTCTCTGGTGAGCACACTCACCCTATAGCAAAAAATCTCTCTTAAAAAAAATAATAATAACAAGAAAAATACACTGGGTATGTGTGCATGCATGGCCAAAATCCAGAGAAGAGAATGGAGGAAAAGGGATTTGGGCATGGCCATTCCCCCATGTGGTGGGGAAGAAGTGGTGATTTCCCACTTTTCTTTCTCTGATGAGCACACATACCCTATAGCAAAACTGAAAAAAAGAAAAGAAAAGAAAAGAAAATTCATATTTCACCCATTTCCACGCACCCTTGCTCACATGTAGGCTGGGTATTAGTTAGCTCTCTCATATCCTGCCTGAGCAGCTCCTCTGGGTGCCACTGACAGTCCTACCTAGGACAGAGGCATGGAGGAAGTTCTCAGAACATCCTTGGTTGGAGGAACAGAAATTTACACATGCGAGCTCTAATAAGAAGGGGATGGCTGGTGGCATGATGGTTAAGGTCACTGGACTCCCACATGGCTGACCATGGTTCGAGTCCTGGATCTGGTGGTTTGCTTTCTCACTTTACTTCTCTCTCTCTCTCACTCTGTCCCTCTCTGGTCAAATTAAAATAAATAAATTAAGTTAAATAATTCTTCTTTTTTTTAAAAAAAAAAGAGAATTGTTGGGCTCGCTCTGTGGCCTAGTAGTTAAGGGAACCAGATCTCACCTGGCGAACAGCAGTTTGAATCCCAGGCCCACCAGCTTGAAAAATATTCTGAGCGAGTTTGTGGGTGCCCACAATCCCAACAGGAGGATGCTTCTTCTCACTCTGTCTCTCTGGTGAGTACAT